AATTCGGGTGATCGACATGCTGATCGCTACTATCAACAACATTTGGAACCCCTGTATGGGGACATGTCCCATGACTACTATCGCTTTTGCACCTTAATTTAATAAAGGATCTGATATATTCAACCGTTACCAACTCTAATGCATCCACAGTAATAAAAAGTCGAGCAATTACTGCGAGTTCAAAAAAGCTGCTGCGGCCAATAAAATACTATCTTATTTGGCCCAAATCCTCACTTTAAAATTGAGGGCAATTTATGTGGATGTAATGTATAAAATAGTCTCTTTAATATCGTGTGAAAGCTGAAGAATTGCCAAAAGTAGAAATATGTTCGATTTAGGAATCAATGGAAAAAAATGTGTTTCATTGTTTATTCTGGTATAATGTAGCGCTTTGGTAAGTTTTACTGTTTTCGGTATAGTATTGTATTACCTAATTTATAATTAAAACCTTATTCTCTAAAATTTTTACTTCACCGTAAATAATAACCCTTTCAAGTCCTGATTTTACACCATTATGAGAGCTTCTTTTATACGCTATAATCCAAAAGATTTTGTCCCCACTTAAGTGGATAATAGTAAGTAGGTATATAGATCTGAAGGTTATACAGTCTTTTCCATGAGGTCGAGTTTGTTATTGGGCACAGGACAGGGCTTATCAGTTATTATTATGACATTTCCAAGCTTACCGTAATTGTTAAGATAATCCGTCATATTTCGTGTGACAAACTTACTAAACACGATGTGCATGAGCAACAACATTCAACGCGCTATATCAATTCATGCTCGCGTCGACTCGAATAATCTCTCACAATATTTACAACTCCAATTTGTTCACTTATTACCGTCCTTTGACATAACACCCTGTCTGACGCTACTGTAATGAAAAGAGTAACAAGATCTCCGCAAAAGAACGAAAATGTATCCCCAGTTAAGCGCGTCAAACCAAATTCTCCTTGTAAGCAGGAAAAATGTTTAACAATCCAAAGCCCACGAAAGAGATATGAACGATTTATAGTTAAAGAAGTGAATTATGACTACTATCCATGCGCAGGCGAGGATAATTGGCTAATGGCTAAGGTAGATACTCGTCTTGATATATACGTGGTTGTGATGCATTTATCCAAAGGGTTGTGTTTTTTTTTTTTTTTTGATTAAGATCCTTCACTTACTGAACGAGCGAGATCAATCAGAACGCTATGTTCATTTGCGCGATGACTGGGTGGACAGCACAGTAAACGTTGGTATGAAAATTCACCTCTATCTCAATTCTCAACATTTTGCTTTATGCATGTGCTCACTTATATATATCACCCTACGATCATGGCAGGCGACTATGTTCACGTAATTGGCAACTTTGATGAGCAATCCAAGAGCTGCATCATAGATAATGACCATAATTTGATTATAGTGAATCCAGATTATTTATGTTCGGCGACGCAAGTCTCCGATAGTACATCGTGTATGAGAAAGGCTGTCCTAGAGGAACGAGCAAAATTGGGCAGTCCTTGGAGTCCATCTGCTGTATTTGGAAATATGCTTCATGAACTATTGCAGACATGTCTGGAGAATGATAATTTCACATACAAGTTTTTGCAAGAGTCAATGCTGAACCAGATTGCCAAGTCGACTGAGCAGCTGTTTTGTGCCGGCTTAGATGAAAAGACAGCGAAAGCGGAATTAGAATCTATTATTCCAAGGTATATTTCTTGGAGCGAGAAGTTTGTCGCCGCAACTCCGCAGGTATGCTATTCGTTAATTGGTGGAAGCTACGACATATTAATGGATTTGATCCGCTTATTGCTATTATTACAATATGTATCATACTTATCCACTTTCAATATACCGTTTTACACTAGTCAGGTGCGACTATAAATCCGCATCGTGCATCATCGACCGATAATACAGTTCTCTGCATAAACAAAATCCTCGATATTGAAGAACACGTTTGGTCGCCAATGTATGGACTAAAGGGAATGATCGACGCGTCTATACAAGCTGAGATTATCCAAAATAATAAGTCAAGAAGATTAGTACTACCATTTGAATTGAAGACGACACGTACTTCCACCGTTGCGTATCATCATGCTCAGACAATATACTACACGCTGTTGATGAATGACCGTTATGGTAAGTGAGAATTGTATGGTATGGTATTGAGAGGCTTTGACAAAGTGAGATCAAAATTCGTCTCTAACGTAATGGAATTCCAGATGTTAATGTGAAGTTGGGTTTGCTATACTATGTTCGGGAAGCCGAAGATGGAGAAATGCGTGTTGTTCCTGTTCGGCGCCACGAATTGGTTCATTTGATTATCCAACGAAACGAGATGGCGGCATACGTTTCGAATAGAAATAGACTACCACCGATGATCCAGAATTCATATAAATGTGGGAAATGTTTTGCCAAGAGTTTATGTTTCGTGTATCATAAGGCAAGTACTAATTTGAACGCGTCATATACATTAGCACGGTCACATTGAATTGATGTATTATATTATAATTGATCCGGTAGGCGGTTGAAAATGGGAATGGAGAAACAAGTGGATTAGGACAACTTTTTGATGACGCAACTGCTCACATGACGGGAAACCGATCGGAATTCTTCGTCAAGTGGGAAAAATTGATATCAGCGGAAGAAAATGATATGATTAGATTTCGAAAAGAAATATGGTCCATGCTGGCGAATGAACGCGAGTTTTATGGAAGGTGAGAGCGTTGGAGTTCTGATACCTATGATTTTGTTTTATAATTAACAAAACCTTTCAATCCAGATGCTTGAGCAATATGAAATTAGATCCCGATAGCATCGAAGACAATGGTAGAGGTGCAGGATCGCGTCGATACAAGTGTCGCTTCTGGCGTCACAATTCAGATGATAGGCTCATCGGATTAGGACATTTTGCTGTCGGTGATCCAATAGTCATCTCATCTCAAGATGGTCATTATGCGCTAGCCATTGGATTCGTGTATGAGACGCATTCCGATAGTATATTGGTCGATATAGACCGTAAACTTCGCGGTATTCCAAAGCGATGTTCTGATTTCGACGAAGAAACTTGTCAAAATTTTGAAGGTATTCGAGTAATTAAGAGAAAGAGTCAACCATTTTCACGTCTCGGGCAGCAAAATGGTGTCATGACGCTAAGGATATCTGGTAGAGATGATCAAAAGATAAGAGATAGCAAAAATGAGACATTGTATAGGATCGACAAGGACGAGATGTCGTCGGGCATGAGCTTAGTGAGAGAAAACCTCGTAAAGCTCATGATGATCGAGACTGAAGAAAGACGTCGACAGCTTATTGTGGATATGCTTGCGCCAGAGTTTCATGCCGAGAGCCGTTATAGTGCATCAGATACCAGTGATGATTGTTTGAATGTTGATCAAAAGCAAGCGGTTGATAAAGTTCTAAGAGGTAATACAATATTCCAAAGTGGACTTACTCTCACATTTATGTTTACAGTATATTGATATAATGTATTTAACTAATGTAGCTAAAGATTATCTGCTCATTCTCGGAATGCCTGGATCTGGAAAGACTACGACCATTGCACATATCGTAAAGACACTAGTAACACAAGGAAAGACTGTGCTTTTGACATCTTATACCCATACGGCCGTTGACAACATACTATTGAAACTGCACGACAGTAACAGCAATATCGACATTCTGAGACTCGGATCTCGTGACAAGGTACAAATTATAAATGTTTAATAAGTATTTTGTCTTTATTTGCTATCGATTCGTCTGATGATTCTCTATTTAGGTTCATCCTGGCATACACAAATACATGCTGAGTCGAGATGGCAGCATCGAACACGTTGACGAACTTGCTGAATTCGTAATGTCTAAACCTGTAGTTGCAACGACATGCTTGGGAATAAATCAGTATGTTTTTGCTTGCCAAAAAAGACATGGGTTTTGAGATGTTTTACATCCGTATTTCTAATAATGTATATCTTGTTTAGTTGGCTGTTTCATAAGCGTAGATTTGATTATTGTATAGTTGATGAGGCGTCACAAATCACCTTGCCTGCCTGTCTGGGACCATTGAGACACGCAGATATGTTTGTTCTTGTGGGTGACCATTATCAACTGCCTCCACTGGTATAATTATATTTAATATTCTTGTTCACTGTTTGTTGATACTGTGTATAGTATTAATATTTTATTTACTAAGGTGCGCAATTCTGAAGCGCGGAAGAAGGGTATGAGCGTCAGCTTATTCAAGACGCTCTCCGAGGCGCATCCCGAAGCAGTGGTGAATCTACAGCATCAGTATCGAATGAATAAAGACATTATGTTGTTGTCTAATCAACTAATATATGATAACAAATTACGATGCGGATCTCCTGAAGTTGCTGAAAGATGTTTAACCGTGCCCTACATTAAAAAAATTGACGAATTTCACGTCGCTGACAATGAACCCTTTCTATGCGATGGACAAAAGTGCTGGCTAAGACAATTGGTTTCACCAGAGTACGTTTGTGAGAATATTTATCATAATTTTGGGAAACATTCAGTAGCTAATCATTCTCTGCCGTTATTCAGACGCAGAGCTGTCTTTGTCGATACCGACAGTGTTCCTGCTTTCGATTCTCGTACGGGTGATGTAGTGCATAATGAAATTGAAGCACAATTAGTCTATCAGGTACAGTGATAACTGGGATACGTCATCATACAATGCAATAAGCTCACTCATTCCTATTATAGGTTACAACAGCACTACTCGCGTGTGGTGTTGAGGAATCTTCTATTGGCATTATATCTGTCTACAGATCGCAGCTCAGATTGTTGTCTCAACTTCTCAGAGGTCATTCACAACTCGAAATATCAACAGTTGATAAATACCAAGGACGGGATAAGGAGTGCATATTGGTGTCTCTTGTGCGATCTAACGAGAAACAGGCTGTACGTTAAATGTGTTGTTAACCAAGTTGGATGATTATCTATTAACCCAGTGAAACTAATGCATCTATATTTTTTAGGTGGGAGAATTACTTCGAGATTGGCGTCGTATAAACGTTGCATTTACAAGGGCTCAGAGTAAACTCGTTATTTTTGGTTCGAGATCTACTTTAGCAATCACGCCCATCTTTAGTCAATTCTTGACATTAATGGATAAGAATAATTGGGTAATTACAATTGCGATTTCTTAATTATCAGTATCAAAAAAGAATTTGGTCTGACGTTAATTTGTTGTCATATTAGATTTACGTTCTACCTAAAGACGCCCATAAGATGCACGTGATGGCTAGGACGACACTTTCTAAAGGAAAACAACAGCTCGAAAATCTGGGCGGTGAGGGAAAGTCGCCTCGGAAAATAGTCAAGGGCGCTGGTAGGGCCATCCTCAAAGATCGGAAAATATTAAGAGATGTCTCTAATGGCCTTTTGTGACTAAATAATGACTTTAATATACTTTAATCAATTCAAAGTTTATTAAATTAATAAAATAAAAAACATTTAATTGCTAATCTACAACATTAACATGCGGTATAGTTTCCAGAATAAAGTTATTCCTCCTTGTGGTTAACTCTCTTTTTACATAATAGTTGTAAAAAAACGCGATCATATAAACTGACTTAACGCGTTGGTTTCATTACGCCTAACGCTCGTCACAGAGCTTCATTCAATAATGAGAGTAATAACACAATCGCTATTATGATGGTGTTCCTTCACCAAAATATATTCTAAACATGTTATGTTCATGATCATGGCTTTTTATTTCGCTTTGGTTGCGGCCAAGTAACCGCTAATTGGATCTGGTAGTTCTATAACTAATGAGATCAAAGGTATTCACGAAATGAATGTTCTGTTTATTTGATTCCATTCGATTTTAGGGGTCAACCGATTTGCGGTTATGTAAACCGTTCTAATTTGCGTGATTGACTATCATCAGGCAAAGTAAAAGCCAGCCAATAATACTAAATAGGATAGGATTAATATCGACCCTTTGAAATAATTAGACTTCCCTTCAATGTAAGTATACGTTAATAGGAACACCGAAAACACTACTGCGAATACATCCCAACGCGGGAATATGAGACTGAATTAAAGAGAGATGTAATTAATAACAGTTTGACATTAGGCAAAAATACAAGTACGGTCTGCGTTACTTACGTGAACGAATTCGTCAACGATTCTTTTGAGCCATGAGTATGCCATGCAGAAAATGCTACCATTGCTGGGATCTGCAACATGCACACTTGCAAAGCATACGCCGATCCAATTTCCATACTACAGAACGACAAGATAGATTTACGAGTGTTAAATCATGTAGAAAATAATCATTCAATATTGATACTTGTAACATTCATACCTGAGTGCAATATTTCCGTAAATAGCAAACGACATTGCGTTCATAAATTCTGTTATATTGGGTACCAATGCAAACAGTGTTAATCCCAAAAACTTGATGTCAGCATCTTCTTCGAGTACGTCACCGAGATTGTCCACAAGAATTTCTGGAGGAAAAAAGAACGAATAAGAACGACTATTCATACTAGCCCAATGGCATAGGTAGGTAAATTTCAAATACCTGCTATAAATGAATATGCTATTGTACATAATACTAATACTACTCCACTCTTAAACTTGCTCCAGTTAGGAGAATCATGACCACCGGGTTCTTCCTCCTCTTCCGGCTCATGGGCATGTCTAACCGTCGGTGTTGGATGAGTGACAAGGTCTGATGACCCTGCAACGGCGGCAGCTGCGGCAGCAGCAGCAGCCACCTGAGCCATACTGTAAGTATCATAATGTGTAGTTCCTGATGGGGCTGACTGTGGACGAGGATTTGGGGGTGGTACGTCTTGATGAAGTCCTGAACTCTGTGGGTTGTAGTGGGCTGAACCAGGCAACATCTGCTGAAGCACGTGCGGAAGCGGAATAAGACGTTTGTAGATTGATCCACGCCCTGCGCCTGCGTCAGATTCATGGAAGCTTGCGTGATATGTATGCCATACTAACGCAGCATGCGTTCCGAGCGAGAAGCATAGACCAATCGAATAAGACTTGAAATAAAATTTTCATTAAGATTGTGTATTAAAGGTTATATAAATATTTTACGATAGCCACTTACCAATACCAATATAAAGGCACAGAAATACATCAGCGGTTTGACCCTGTCATTGTAAAATGGGTCATCCCAGGGATCAATCGGTTGCTGGTAACACCTTTGGCATTTTTCTGCTGCAACGCTGTGAGGACAGATTTCACATTTCATATCAAACTGGAGATGGATCCAAGAAATATTATGAATACCAATACGAAAATCATATCGCTAACTGTCACAATATCTACCTGGCCATATGTTTGATAAAACAGAGTCGGTGTAAGTGCTCCTATAATCGCCATGATAAGCATTGTCGATGTCACCTCTAAGAATCGAATTATTTTTTTAGACAATAGTTCCATCCGGTGAATAATTCAGTACAAGAGGAATGGAAGCCAAAATACTGACCTGCACTTTTGGCGTTAAATCTTTGCTCTTTCCTCTTAAATCCACCACTCACCATACTAACACCAGGCATCAACAAAACTCCGGCCATTAAACTCCCTATAAGACTACCTTCTACTAACGGACCTTTTCCGTTTACTAACGCGATAGCGTATAGAATAATCTCTATAATACTACCAAATGTTGCGTTGATCACCGCACCCATTCCAATTGACGATTGAGCGGATATCGAAGCCACTGCCATACCAATAAAGTATGATAATGGGATGACAGAAGCAAGACCCAATGCAAATCGGAATTTTGCACTGAACAGAAATCCCTCTTTCCCTAACCATTCAACGAACACATAATTGTCAATTAACGTAAATAGGACAATTGGTATAAGATTGATAAATATAATGTTAATGCCATCGTAAGTGTATTTGTAATATTGAAGGCCAATAGCCTTGTAGGTGCATAATAAGATCACCGAGCGTTGCGACGCAGTAAATGAGAGTGAAGATCCCGACTTAAAATGTAAAGAAAGAGGATGTTTCCGAAGATGACGTGTGAGCACAAACGTAAGCTTGGCCATTGGAATAGAAACAACCATGAACCAACAAAGACATGAGACAAGCAGGTAGAGTGGTCCTTGAAAATTGTTGATATAAAGAGAATTTCACAAGTCAACCATAAACACGTAAATATTACACACACAATTATTAAATTCACATTTCTGAGAGCAGAAACCTACCGAGTAGCAAAAAGAACCAAAAATAAAAGACCAAGCCAGCCAACCCAAGATCAAATAATCTCCCGCAACACGTTCGCTTTCTTCTGGGTCTTCCGGGTTCACCATATTCCAAATTACTCCCCAACAATCTCTCTCTTTCTCCATCCTCAAAGCTCATTCCCGAATCATACTCATGATCTTCACTTGTCCCTTCATCAAACACATCATACCACTCATCTTCAACACGTGCCGCATACTTTCCGAATGGCCAAAATATGTAGTAACTTAGTTCCCTTAAGACTCTTGCATATTGCCGGCCACCGAATGGCGTGAAATACAGGAAAATGGAAACAAAGTAGGATATCAGAGCAAGCCACCACCCGAATGCGATGGCCCAAAGGACATTCCCAGGGTATAAATAGACCTCGGACGTGGGCATCAAGTGTAAAGCGGAATTAGCATCACGGGTGACAGAACGTGATTTTTTATACAGGGCTGGTTTCCATATGGGAAGACCAAATGGATGAGTAATGTTCATAGCCTAATAAGCATTAGCCATCATGTTAGTAATGATCGCTATAATGGTGGGCGTATCAAATGTCATTACACGAATCATAGAACTAAACGTACGTCCTGTCGATCCTTGAGTGTAAATTCACCGCTCAATTGTGAACGAACATCCTCTTCTTCCTGTTCTCCATCGTGCTCCTCGTCGTCCTCGTCCTCCTCCTCGGCATCCGCAGACCGCTTAGGTATGTACGAGCTTCTCCTCTGCAACGACTTTCTCTTACCGGTTGATCTCTGGTTTTCGTCTCCGCTTAGCGACCGATCGGACGTGTCATAAGTCTTTCGACGCGAAAGTCTCGAAGGTGGCGACGTGCTTTGTCCAGAAGAACTTGCAGCATGTTCTGTATAGTGGTGTTCCATTCGCTGTATTGGACCGTAACATTACCGTGGGGGGAAGTCGGAGGGTTCGTTCGATATGTGCGTTATGCTACAATTTATTTATGACATAATCTGTGTAAGGCAAGTTAGATAATGTACAGGTTTATGCCAAATCTGGCCAAATAGCGTTCGCATATCGAATGGATGTTACGATCTGTTCTGTTGGTATCAGGAGGGTTTCGGTTTTTGTAAAATGTGATAATTTATAACTTTTGATTATCACCTCACCAATGTTTATAATAAATAACAGATTGCTCTATCAGCTATAGTCACAATGCTGTTGTTCCTGTAATGCTCTGCAAATTCATCATACCTCCTACCTAGGTCTTGGGTATCTAACATTCCCAAGCTTAATCAGAACGATCATAAGTAGGAATCGTATACATACTGTATTAATATAATATAACGATCAATAAACACTAGTCTAACCTTTTGTCGCCAGCATTGTCAGCATTGTTCTACGATATCAGTTGTATCTGCTGTCAATATACAGAGTACGTCATGAATTCGAGCTAGCAGTGTTATAATAATAGGATGAGAATTAATCCCAAAAATGCTCTATTACTATTACCATTGGAATAAGCGGGACTGTCAATGAATTGATTTTCATTTAATATTGGTCTTAAGATACGTGCTTTAACCTCATATGTTTGTAGATACTGCAAGTAGTGAAGGCTATATCACTCACGTCGTGGGCAACCACCCACTATCAAGAGTGCTCCATGACACTCTGCCGTTAAATAACCCACGCTATAATGGACAATTATTAAGAAGTTTACTACAACTATTTATGGGATGTGCCCAATTTCTATTATAACGAGGTTCGACTGTAGCCACGATAAAACAAGACAATTATCAATGAGGCGCTTCCCCTTGATACCTTTTCCGTATATGCAGTAATAAAGAACGCTAATCTCCAACAAAATTAACTAGTTTCCGGGGATGAATTTTGCTGACCTGCTACGTTTGGGATTACATTAAGACCAGAATTCCCAAGACCCTACAGGTATAAAGCCTGTTATCTTTTACTTCGAACGACGTGTAAGTAAAGTTAGTTTACTCAACAGACCGTAGACTATCGACTAATATATTAACCGTTCACACACGGAACAATTTTAAGTGTTTTTAGTTTTATGTAATTCTTTATAAAGAGGCTTGTGTTTACCTTGCTCAAATAAAAAGTTAAATAATCTTTATGAAAAAATTATCAATTCCTTATTGTTTATTCCAACTTCAGTTGGTAGAAGTAAAACTACTGAGAACACACAGTAATGACTAAATCAGGTCAAATCAGAACATTATGAATTATAAATATGCAAAGTCAAGACCGTCAAGCGTGTTTAGAGACAAAGATTCTATAATAGTGAATAGTCATTTTTATAGCGAATAATAGAATATCTAGGCAATTATGGGAAGGAGGAATGAGTATGAATATCTAGAAAGAAAAAGATTGTCGAACATCAGAAACGAAAAGAAATCGTTTATCTGATGCGCAGATTGAGATAAGAACTGCATTCTTATATATCATCACTAACTTGCAGTAACAAGTTGCCATATAAAAATAGTAAGTATCCTAGAAGACCCCAAATTTCATTTTAATCCGATTTCGTTTTAATCTGCCACAATAATTTTGCAATGACGAATAATGTCAACCTTGGAGACCTAGAATAATTTGTCAAGCCATCAATTTGTCGATTTAATATTATACACGATCCACGAACAGATGGGATAATTCAGTACCGTTTCATACGTACGTCATATTATAATTAGATTCACCCACCCGGGGTGGTCGCCCGCATATTATCGCTTCTCATCTGATGAACATAATTACGATATTAAAGTTTACGTTTTTTATTAACGGCGCACGTATGGTAAAACTACTGTACTGCTAGCTAATAAAGCATATATGATATACAGTACGTTCCTTCATCATTGTTTAACTACAGTCGAATCTCCATTAGAAAAACACAGTCAGTGCACCCAAATTATACAGTACTATCATAGAGGCGTTCTTATAGAATTTGTACTCAAGACTATAGAACTACATTTATAACATTATTCAATAAATTAAATGTTAGTATTACTAGTAAAATATCGATTAAGTATCGCCAATTTTTTACAACTTCTTTATGGGGGCCATTTTCTATGCTCGTTTTTTGGTGGTCATTCTGACATTGAATAGGATTTTATAATTTAGCGGGCCTGATGTAGTTATGAAAAGCAGCAGGGTCTGGATCCGGTTGCCAACCAATAAACATGCAGCACAGACACAATACTGAATAAGCGTTCTACAAATTGTGTTCTCGTTCCTTTATAGATTGTTCTTAATGAAGGGAAATTACTACAGTAATGTATCAGATTCGTTTCATAAAAAATGTCCTTCACAGAGAGTTTTTTTATGGAGGTTCGACAGTAGATAATACGGTTTACGATAACGACTCTAAAACATTTAGCGATTTAGTGCATCCAAATTCATTGCGACCTCCATAATCATCCATACGGTGTACTGTAATATCATCAACATTCTGTTGTTTGACAGGTCTCAACTGTGTGACTGTAGGGAAGGTCGATTGTACATATTAATATGCGTATATCTCGATTCGTCTATTGGCTGCATAATGATTGGTCTCGAATCAACACATTATTAGATACTGTATATAAAGTATAAGAACTTTGAATTGCTTACATCGTAACTTTTCTTATATCTCCTGGTGTCTCATGTCTTGACTTAGTATATGGTCTCGTGGACGACTACGAAGTAATGAAGAATACGAAGAAGCCGGGGACGATAATATTTGGCTGTTTCAATCCAATTGAGACAATTGAGTTGTTGCTAGTAGTAGTAGTAGTACACCTCCCGTTTTACTTTAATCTGCTCTTTTTTTATTGTTGAGAAAAAATTTTTCTGAAAACCTTTTATCCTGTAAAACACCAAAAATATTTCTTGACAATAGCGATTTCAAGACCCTCACTTTTGGGATTTGCTATGAGCGTTAAAATTAGAAATTGTATGTTTGCCAGTGTTTGGTTTGGAGAGACAATACAACCATAATTTTTCCATCCTTGGTCGGCCTTCTTTCTTTTTCGCAAGCCTCGTACATATTAAACAAATTTGACAAGCGTAACATAAAGCAGCTGCATATAACTGTTTTAAAATGTAAATATAATAGATAATTCAATTTTTATAAAAAGTTTCTAAGGTAGGCTGTTTTAGAGAAGCGATTCGCTTTCTTTGAATTTGACACTGAAGGTCTTTTATTCCGAGATTACCGATGCATTTGTTTTTTCTACGTTCATAATTGCAGTTTGGTTGTAAATTGAAATGCGTTTTTGAAGCAATTGACTATGTCAACCATTTTATTGTCTTTCTGAACGATTAAGACAATTGTATCAATGTATTACAAATGATATATTACGATAAAAAAGACTAACCGTAAAAAATCACGTGGTCCGACTTATCGAGAGTCATTTGGTCGACAAGATCGTCCGAGTTACGACTTATTATTATCGCGATTATATATATGTCTTCCGACTTGTCGAAATGTCTATGTATTACTGGAGTGCCAATTCTCTCGTCAATTTGATAATCGACAAGTGCGTAATTGGTGAGTATAACATAGAGCACAAGTCTTTGATCCATCTTTATTCCTCGCGGATGTATTATTGTTGGATGTGTCTTTTTTCCACAAATGAAAAGATGGGGTAAGTACAGTGTGTAACAAAAAACCCCGGATATTTTGAATTTGCCATTCCATCTCAACCAGTAACCAATTTTTATGAATAATGGCTCATTTGAAAGATAAAAACAACCAAATTTATTTGATAACAATTAATAAGAAACCCGCTCTCCATTGCTCTCAATTATTAGCTCACAACGTCGCCGCATTGACTCAACTAAACTAATTAGAGTGTCCTCAGAAATATTTCTCCACTCCTCTGCCAAAAAACTTTCCAATTCATCAAGATTTTTTGGCATTCGCCTTTCCACATTTCTCTTAACAATTTCCATAGATTTTCTATCGGGTTTATATCTGGGCTATTGGACGGCCAGTCCATAAGTTCCGGAACATTCTCTTGCAAGAATGACTTGGCAAGACGACTTGTGTGTTTTGGGTCATTGTCTTGTTGGAACCGCCAACGACCCCCAAGCATCCTGTTAGCCTCCGAGATATGTCTCTGAAGAATTTCAACATAATATTTGGCATCCATTATCCGCCGGAAGCAAAATAAAGTTGTTTTTCCTTTTGCCGAAATCCACCCCATGCAAAAATTTTCGTTCGCTTTTTCGGCATAGGACGAACTGGCCGCTCTCCCTTATACCAGCGTTCCACAGTGTTTCGGAAAAGCTGAAATGCCGTTTCATCCGAAAATAGTGTCTTCTTCCAATCGTCATTAAGGTGATGGTGTGCCCACTCTACCCGTTTTTGCTTATGAGCATTAGTAAGCATTGCGGTCGCTTTTGGGGTCGCTTTTGAATATCAATTTATGGCTAAATGGTCACGGGTGATACCTTCACGCCAATTTGAAACATTTTGTTAGCCAACATTCTTGTTGAAACGTCGTATAAATTGTCCAACGCGCTTGAGGTATTTTCGATAATCTTTTTGGGCCGATCATTACCTCTTGCATGATCTACAGTTCTGTTCTTTTTGATTTTTTTTTATATTATCATAAATTGTGGAAAGAGGAATATTCGTGCAGCGATAAATTTCTTGGCCATTATGAATGCCTTTGTTCCACAATTGTAATATGGTTTGGCGTTGCGTTTCTTGCTTAGAAGTTGGCATTATGCTTGTATGTTAAATCTGAAAGTTGCTTAAGATTTAGAGTTGCAAACAACACTCAAATTTAGCTCTGTTTATCAAGCTTATTTCCAGTTTACATCTCCCAAATTGGGCAGAAAACAAACGCGTGAGACGGGTTTACGTCGCATAAAAAAATATCCGGTTTTTTGTTACACGCTGTATTTGGTTATTAATAATTATTCCGTTTTTGTGAATTACTAAACTGGGATTGTATCACCAAAAATATATATCACGGAACCCCTTACGACGTCACCGTTTTGGATTCAGCTTTTTACCATTGTACAGGGACATCACAAGTCCAGCACCTTTATATCTAATTCTCTCCAAGTTAGTCTGTTTGTCCCATTTCTACTTACTAATACTAATCGTATTTGCATTTCGTCTCTATCTGGAAGCTAATTGTTACTACACAGTTTTTGCTTGTGTTACAGATAACGCCACTTAACGTTAAAAGGATATACATAAATATAAATAAATAGTATTAGTATAATCAAATCTATAAATATAAATACATATTAATATTCTATTTTACAAAAACTTAATTGAAACTATATTACATAATTAACTAGCTGTACAGTCAAGCAGTATATCAAATAATCCAAGAGCATTTTACCACTATAGGCTTATTAGACTTAGCTATATCTATCTGAAATTAAACATTAACCTCGTAAAAGCATAACATAACTATCAATCCAAATCAAGGATTATAGCGATATGATTTTTCGACGGGTTGTATCGATAGTTTAATTAATGTTTACCATATAAATTATATTGTAAACCTTTCACTATTACAGCTACACGAAAACTCATCATCACTTTATCGCGTATATTCTCTCTCTGCCCAATTCCGAAAATGCAAGAATATGAGATCTTACAGCATTCGTTCATTCTCTCCTACGTTTTCAATGATGCAAGTCACACTGAACGCTGAAACAACACCGAAACGGCAGCGTTTACCTCAATTTGGTAGGTTACAAAGTCCCTAATGGCCCTAATGGCATGTTGACTAAGATTATATCGGTACACTCTGTTAGTATAATTTAAAAGACATTGGCTTGTAACACCACTTAGTACGTATTAATATATAAAGAAGGCATCGGCAAGAACACTGTAAGAAACTTTTCTAACCATTATGAATGAGTTAGCACGGGCTGAAATCACTAAATCAACCAATGTTGACCCTCTTGAATCAGACATGGCACGCAATAATCTTTACCAGACTGATCACCCATATAGTATAACAGCGAAGATCACGGCGAACAAGTCTAAGATGAAGCTATTGCAAGGACCCTTCGCGAAAGCATACACTTTACTAAATGAAGAACAATGTGATTTCTTGCGCAAATTGTACCTCGAACTCGAAGATGATCCACTTCATCCTCTCTTTGCCGATGATGTATTCCCTAAAGTTCAACAGACTTTGGAATATCTGTCTATTTGTCCGAAAAGACGGAATGAGTTGTTGTCATCTCTACAACAACTAATGAGCGAGCGTCCCTCTGCCAAACCTGACAAGGATGTTCACGCTGAACATATTCGGTCAAATTCGAACAAAAGGGAGATTACCAGCGCATGTACCGTACCGTCCGATAGCCCAAAGAAACGGCATCGTAAATGTTCAGACCCCAACATAAAGCGTAAGTATGGCGAATGGATACTAAATTTCCAACAGGAACATCAAGTGTACGCTGCGCGTGAGATCGAAGAACTGGATGTTAAGGAGCTGGCAGCTACCAATAAGCCTCTTTCACAGGAGCCTTATGATCCAACCGCACTTTCATTCTTCATAAGTGAAGACCAATGGCAGTCACTCCCAATTTCGGATTATGAGTTAACAGCTAATACCTACTATGCCGGAGATGGTTTTTCCCTGTCGACCGATGATGCAAAATGTAAGTTTTCATAGTAGAAATTAGTTTCATAACGAATATTTGGTCTACTCCAACGCGAAAATTCTCTGACCTATCGTCAATCATTCTATTGCTTACTTTCATGGGTGTACATTCACTTAGTCGCCGCAGGTCTTCTAATCGGAACTAACTCCCAATATGAAGACTATCATTATTTGTGTAATCCTAATGACTACATAAAGCACTGTTACAGACACGACGCCCAATTCTGTGGAAGGTGACTGAAACCTCCCCCATATATACCGGTTTTGCTATAACGGTCCGAACGGTTTTTGACATATGGATTTCCCCTTTATTTCAGTTCTATGCCGGAATTTGGCTGGTACAAAATTCGTCAAATTTCTTCGACTTTTACTTTCCTGTTTCTACCAGGCTAATCAATAAATAAAACAAATAAAGAAATCCAGAGTTTCCCTCGCTGCTTTACAGAAAAGGAAAATTTGTCAATTTAGTCAAGTCTCATAATCAAAATTGCAGGAATATTTGCGGAAGCAGGGTGAGATATTTTGTGCTGATATGGTAAATGACGACGTCATTAATGACAGCGTCGTCAGTAAGACCCAGAAAACGATTTTGTTTGAGATGGCGTTGACTGCTCTTAAAACTATGACCGAATTTATTGAACAACAGCCAGATATTTCATTGGACGTGGTTAATTTACGACGTAGTACAGAGTGGAAAGTCTTAGGCAAGAAGTTTTAGGTCATTTTATGATAAAGTTAGATTGAGTAAAACGAGTAATAAACATGTTAATAAATAATGGATTGCCCTTATATGTATCGTTATATATGTCGTGCATAAATCCCGTCATCGTATAAATCCCGTCAAAGTACCCCAAAATTGAGAAGGGTCCCTAAACATTTTTCTTATTATTATCTCAATCAGCGGATAAACGCTATGAGTTATGTAA